GAAAACGACGACCAGTCTGCTATGCATCACGATCACTCAGCGACACAGAAAAATGATATGCAGTTATTGAAAAGGAGGCTCTCGCAGCGACATGGGCTTGCGAGAAATTCACGACTATGTACTCGGACTATACTTCATATTAGAGACTGATCATAAACCCCTAGTACCACTCTGAATACTACAGAGCTTTCAAAAATGCCGCCACACATATTACGCTTTCGTCTCAGGATGATGCGATTTAACCCGGTACACAGCAAACAACTGCAGACGCCCTATCACGCGCACCAATCGGTATACCAGAACAAGTTGACACAGCATTCAGCGTGGAAGTCGAAAACTTCACCAAACAATACATACAGGTACTTCCCGCAACTGCAAAACGTATACATGACATTATAGAAGCACAGAAAGCTGACGAGGAATGCACGCAAATACAAGAATATTGTCTACATGGATGGCCTGCATACATGCCTCACTCTCCATTACTACGTCAGTACTGGGAAAACAGGAGCCATCTCACAGTCACCAATGACTTTACTACTGTATGATGAACGAATCGTAATTCCACAAGACATGCGACTTGAAATACTTGACTGCATTTATCAAGGTCATCTGGGAATTACTAAATGCCGTGCAAGAGCCCGGACATCAGTATGGTGGCCTGGACTCTCTACAAGCCTCGGAGATCTGGTATCTAAATGTTTTACATGTGCCAAACACCGTCCAGAACCTACTGAGCCACTGATGTCATCATCATTTCCATCTCGTCCATGGGAACGAGTGGGAATGGATCTCTTTCAATACAAATCCAGAGTATACATAATAGTGGTAGATTACTACTCTTGATGGGTGGAAATAAAGAAACTACCAACGTTAACATCCGCGAGCGTGATCACTACACTGAAAGAGATGTTCGCTGAACATGGAATACCTGAGATTGCAATGTCTGATAACGAACCACAATTTAGCTCAGAATTGTTCAGTCAGTTTGCAGTAATATATGGATTTGTCCACATAACCAGTTCACCCAGATATCCACGATCCAATGGTAAAGCTGAAAGAGCAGTACAAACTGTCAAAGATCTGCTCAAGAAAAATGAAGATCCATACCTCGATCTTCTCTCCTACAGAACCACACCACTACAAAATAATCTTGCGCCAAGTCAGCTACTGATGGGAAGACTACTACGCAAAACAACTACCGATGCTCCCAAATACTCTACAAGCACGACTTCGCAATGAAGATCTTGAGAAAGTGAAAGAGAGTAAAGACATCTATCGATCTAATCAACAAATTAAGTTCAACCAGCGACATCGAGCGCGTGAACTTCCCATACTTCACCCTGGTGACAAAGTATGGATTCGAGATCAAGGCCGACATGGTCATATAGTAAAGACCACTGAACATCCACGATCTTACCTTGTCAAATCTAATCAAGGTATTGTTAGACGCAATAGGAGAGCACTAGTTCACACAACTAATGAACCGGAATCTCCAAAAATCTAAAGCTCATTCATCTCCAGTGAAATACACACCAGATTCTACTGATCAACAAACAAACACCCACTGCAAAAGACCATCCAAGCAAACCTGGTAATGGCATTGTAAAAACAAGGTCTGGAAGAATTGTGAAGATGCCAGTGTCTAGATTTATTGTAATGTCACCAAAGCAGACATTGACATTAGTTTAGCAGTTCATTATTAGTGAATATTATGTTAGTTGATATATTGCAGTTAGAGTTAATGAATTACATTATGTTGTGTTGTGTTGTATTCAGAGAAACATTCGTGGACTTGTTACGAACAAAGTGAGAACACTTGATACAGGACATTAGCTTCAGTTCAGCCCTTCTGTACTTTAAAGGGAGGTGTAGAGATAACCAATGTATGATAATGTATATAGCGCCCTTTAGTGGCCATATATCCATATACTTTTTGCTATGTATGTTTGTTCGTGTTACAGTGGAGTAAACCTCATGTCTGTAAGTTTTACCTGATCTAATAGTCTGTTGTTTTATTTAGCGAATATTATATGGTGGCAGTGGTGTTTTGACTCACAAAAATGGCAGATCAAAACCAGGCAGTTCCAGGAACACCACAACAGGCAACTCAACTACCAATTCCCGAGAAATTTGATGGATCAACCGGACCTAAACAAGCAGAACTGTGGCCAAAATGGCTGAAACGTTTTGAACTCTACAGAATGGCTTCAGGTCTCCAAAACAAGACAGAACGTGAACAGGTCAGTACACTACTGTATGCTATGGGAGATTGTGCATATGATATCCTCACAACACTGCAAATTGATGAGGAAACCTACACATATGAGGATGTGAAAAAAGCCCTGAATGACTATTACCAAGTTCGTCGTAATATAATAGTGGAGCGAGCAAGATTCAATAAACGGGTCCAAACACATGGGGAACCCATTGATGTCTTCATACAAGATTTATATCGCTTAGCTGAAGACTGTGATTATGGTGTGCTGAAAGATGACCTTATAAGGGACAAAATCGTTGTAGGAGTTTTAGATGACTCACTGTCAGACCACCTGCAAATGAAATCAACCCTTACACTCGCTATTGCTGTACAAACATGTCGTCAGGCCGAAGCTAGAAAACAAAGTCGTGAAGTAGTTCGTGGGGACACTAGTATAAAGCCAAGTAATGTTGATTTTGTAAAACACTCAACTGCATCCCGTAGAAGTAACCAATAATATAAAGCACAGCCAAAGAAAAGTGACAAACATGGTTACAGCCGTACTAGCACACAAACACAAGATAGCTGTCGATGGTGTGGTGGTCAACGTCACGATCATCGTATATGTCCTGCCAGAGACTCAACATGTCATAAATGTCAGAAATCCGGACACTTTAAAAAAGTTTGTCGTAGTACAAGACAAGAAAGCAGTAAAATAAACGAGGTACACAACCTTAAAGAGATACAGATTCCATTTCTCGGAGAAGTATATGGACGTGATGACTACTGGAGTGCAGAAATAAAGGTAAACGGACATGACACACACTTCAAATTAGATACTGGTGCTACAGTGTCAGTCATTAGCGACAAATTACCATGGCTGAATGAGGCAAAACTGAGTTCAACTCGTCAATCGTTTTGCGGACCAGCAGGTACCCAGCTTCCAGTAATTGGTACATTCCGAGCTACGCTAGTGTACCGTGAAAATAAGAGATCCGAGACTGTTTATGTGATAAAGAACCAGGCATGTTCATTACTCAGCAGGAATATGTGCGTTCAACTGGGACTTATCTCACGTGTTGATGAAGTGGGAAAATCAGACCCACCAAACACACCAACTTCAGAGCAGAATTCCCAGCATTATTCAAAGGTCTAGGCAAGTTAAAGTCTGAGTATCACATAACACTTTGCGCTGACCCAGAGCCAGTATGTCTGTATACATCGAGAAAAGTACCACACCCATTACTGCCCAAAGTGAAGACAGAAATTGAGGCAATGCCACAACAGGGGGTAATTTCTCCAGTAACTGTGCCAACTAAATGGTGCTGTGGAATTGTACCCATACCTAAATCAAATGGTAGGGTTCGCATCTGTGTTGATCTCACACAACTGAATAAATCGGTTCAACGTGAAATACGTCCAATGTCGTCAGTAGATGAGAGCCTGTCTAAACTAGCCAAGAGTAAGCTATTTACCAAACTTGATGCTAATAGCGGGTTTTGGCAACTCCCACTAGACGATGATTCAAAGCTTCTCACAACCTTCATAACACCGTTTGGGAGATATTGCTTTAATCATCTCCCATTTGGTATAAGTTCGGCTCCAGAAATATTTCAACGCACCCTATCAGGTGTCCTCGAAGGACTAGAAGGGGTAATTTGCCATATGGATGATATTCTAATTCATGGGTCTAACCAAACAGAACATGACAAACGTGTCAGAGCGGTCCTACATCGTGCACAGCAAGCTGGACTAACACTTAACGACAAATGTGAATTCTCGAAAGACACAATCAAGTTTCTCGGACACATCATTGATAAAACGGGAATACACGTGAATCCTCAGAAAACCAACGCAATAGCTAAATTTCCTGTGCCAACAAATATTACCGAATTACAGCATTTTATGGGAATGGTTAATCAACTAGGAAAATTCATCCCAGGACTTGCGGATCGCAATGAGCCATTACGCGAATTGTTACGTAAGGAGAATGCCTGGGTTTGGGGTGAATCTCAAGAAAAATCATTCCAAGCGATCAAGAAGTGTCTAGTATCGACTGAAGTCTTCGCACACTATGATCCAAATCGTCCTACGATTATTGCAGCCGATGCATCAGCAACAGGCATCAGTGCTGTTTTACTACAAATACAGGACAATGGAAAACGACGACCAGTCTGCTATGCGTCACGATCACTCAGCGACACAGAAAAACGTTACGCAGTTATTGAAAAGGAGGCTCTCGCAGTGACATGGGCTTGCGAGAAATTCACCGACTATGTATTCGGACTATACTTCATATTAGAGACTGATCATAAACCCCTAGTACCACTCCTGAATACTACAGAGCTTTCAAAAATGCCGCCACGCATATTACGCTTTCGTCTCAGGATGATGCCATTTAACCCGATGGTCAGTTACGTACCCGGTACACAGCAAACAACTACGGATGCCCTATCACGCGCACCAATCGGTATACCAGAACAAGTTGACACAGCATTCAGCATGGAAGTCGAAAACTTCACCAAACAATACATACAGGTACTTCCCGCAACTGCAAAACGTATACACGACATTATAGAAGCACAGAAAGCTGACGAGGAATGCACGCAAATATGGGAATATTGTCTACATGGATGGCCTGCATACATGCCTCACTCGCCATTACTACGTCAGTACTGGGAAAACAGGAGCCATCTCACAGTCACCGATGACTTACTACTGTATGATGAACGAATCGTAATTCCGCGAGACATGCGACTTGAAATACTTGTCTGCATTCATCAAGGTCATCTGGGAATTACTAAATGCCGTGCAAGAGCCCGGACATCAGTATGGTGGCCTGGACTCTCTACAAGCATCGGAGATCTGGTATCTAAATGTTTTACATGTGCCAAACACCGTCCAGAACCTACTGAGCCACTGATGCCATCATCATTTCCATCTCGTCCATGGGAACGAGTGGGAATGGACCTCTTTCAATACAAATCTAGAGTATAGTGGTAGATTACTACTCTCGATGGGTGGAAATAAAGAAACTACCAACGTTAACATCCGAGTGCGTGATCACTACGCTGAAAGAGATGTTCACTGAACATGGAATACCTGAGATTGCAATGTCTGATAACGGACCACAATTTAGCTCAGAATTGTTCAGTCAGTTTGCAGTAATATATGGATTTGTCCACATAACCAGTTCACCCAGATATCCACGATTCAGTGAAGCTGAAAGAGCAGTACAAACTGTCAAAGATCTGCTCAAGAAAAATGAAGATCCATACCTCGCTCTTCTCTCCTACAGAACCACACCACTACAAAATAATCTTGCGCCAAGTCAGCTACTGATGGGAAGACTACTACGCACACAACTACCGATGCTCCCAAATACTATACAAGCACGACTTCGCAATGAAGATCTTGAGAAAGTGAAAGAGAGTGAAGACATCTATCGATCTAATCAACTAATTAAGTTCAACCAGCGACATCGAGCGCGTGAACTTCACATACTTCACCCCGGTGACAAAGTATGAATTCGAGATCAAGACCGACATGGTCATCTAGTAAAGACCACTGAACATCCACGATCTTACCTTGTCAAATCTAATCAAGGTATTGTTAGACGCAATAGGAGAGCACTAGTTCACACTACTAATGAACCGGAATCTCCAAAATCTAAAGCTCATTCATCTCCAGTGAAATACACACCAGATTCTACTGATCAACAAACAAACATCCAATCTATCACTGCAAATGACCATCCAAGCAAACCTGGTAATGGCATTGTAAAAACAAGGTCTGGAAGAATTGTGAAGATGCCACTACATCTAGATTTATAGTAATGTCACCAAAGCAGACATTGAAATTAGTTTAGCAGTTCATTATTAGTGAATATTATGTTAGTTGATATATTGCAGTTAGAGTTAACGAATTACATTATGTTGTGTTGTATTCAGAGAAACATTCGTGGACTTGTTACGAACAATAGTGAGAACACTTGATAGAGGACATTAGTTTCAGTTCAGCCCTTCTGTACTTTAAAGGGAGG